AAAACATGTCGAATGTATTGCTTAACATGGTATCAGAGCAGGTATCAATCCTAGGGCTCAAGAAAACAACATCATCATAGCCGAAACAAACATCCAAACTAAAACCTTTCTGTTCTTGTATCACAAGTTCACAAAACCTAAATCAAACCATACACGCAAATTTCAATTCCATCAAATACCTGGAAGGAGAAAATCGATATGTCAGACCAACCACCAGCAAACATAATTCTCGGAATCAAATTGGATGGGACAAATTATCCACTTTGGTCCCGATTGATGAAGGTGGCTATCGGAGGAAGAAGGAAGGCAAAACATATCACCAATAGCCCTCCATCATCAAAAAAGGAAGAGAAAGAATTTCAAACTTGGGAGGAAGATGATCTTACTGTTTTCTCATGGATCATACAGAACATGGAGACCCGATTGGTGCAAAGATTTGCACAACATCAGACCTCCAAGGCTTTGTGGGATAGTCTTGCAATCACATACGGGTCTGGCGCGGACCCTCTCCAAATTTATGACCTTGAAATTCAAGCGTCTAAAATGAGTCAAGAAGGCCAAACCTTGGAGGAATTCTGGAGCGAGTTGCACAACATATGGACTGAAATTGACCAAAGGGATCCAAATCCCCTAGAGTGCTGTGATAAGGGGATACTAACTTACCAGAAAATAATCTCCCAGAAAAGATTGTATCAATTCCTCGCAGGCCTTAACCCCCAACTCGATGGGATTCGACGTGATATACTGAAAGAGAAGCCAAACCCCTCACCAGAAGTTGCCTTCGCCACCGTCAAACGAGAGGCTGCCCGACTACATATTATGCAGCCGGTATCCAACTCCGGTGGTCTGGACCCAAATATAGGAGTTGGACTTGGGGTAAAACATCCAAACCCTAGGTCAGACCCGGCTCGGATGCAATCGAATCGTAACTCAGCCAATCGATTTGGGCAAAGTTCATCGCGCAACAAAATTGACAAGACCAAATTGGTCTGCTCACATTGCGGGATGAAGAAGCATACACGGGAGACTTGCTTCCAGTTAGTTGGCTACCCAGAATGGTGGGAAGAGGGGCACCGGACTGCAACCGCAAAGGGGAAGAGTGCGGTCGCCGTCGACGAAGCCCAAGTAGAGGAACCTCAAGATCAGACCCATATCGGGTTTGGAGGGGCGACAGCAAAAATCACCGGTGGGGGAAATCAGACAGAACATTGCAGTTCATATGAAGGGAAAAATGAATGGGCAGCGACGCAAATGAATTCAGGTATAGGGTGTGGTAAATTACCAAACCCTAACTTACATGTCAACTTACCACACTGCTCCTCATCTATGTCCAAAGGTCTTAAGACTTGTGAAAAATTGTCAAAAAAGAATAGTGCTTGGATTTTCGATTGCGGTGCGTCAGATACTATGACCTTTGACAAATCTGATTTTATAAATTTCTCTAAACCTAGAAGAACTCACGTTCAAACTGCTAGTGGGGATCTAGCTACTGTAGTTGGGGGTGGGACTGTTGAAATTTCCCAGTCCATTCGTTTGTCAAATTGTTTGTATGTTCCCTCCTTGTCACATAAACTTTTGTCTATCAGCCACGTCACTCGAGAATTAAACTGCACCTTAATTCTACACCCGCATTTTTGTTTGTTACAGAATATCCGGACGGGGGAGATCATTGGGCGTGGCACTGAAAGGAATGGACTTTACTATGTGGACGAGATTGACTCCAAAGGTACTGCACTACTGGCTCATGGTTCTTCCGAACGAGATATTTGGCTGTGGCATCGGAGATTGGGTCACCCTTCTACTAACTACCTTAAACTTCTCTTTCCAGCTTTAGTTAAACATCATAATTTCCCTTGTGAGACGTGTATTTTGGCAAAAAGCCACAGACATTCTTTTCCGGCTAATAATATTAGAACCCTTTCCCCGTTTTCTCTTGTGCACTCTGATGTTTGGGGGCCTTCTCCTGTTTTTGGGGGCCTTAAATGTCGTTATTTTTTACTTTTTGTGGATGACTTTACACGGATGACCTGGGTATATTTTCTCGACTCTAAATCACAAGTTTTTGAAAAATTTACCCATTTTTATACTATGATCCAAACACAATTCCACAAAAATATTCAAATTCTTAGATCGGATAATGGGGGGGAATTCGTCAATACCAATCTCAAAACTTTCTGTCTCAATAAGGGAATAATCCACCAGACTTCTTGTCCTTATACACCCGAACAAAATGGGGTAGCTGAACGCAAAAACCGAATCATTCTCGAAATGACCCGGGCTATGATGCTAGAATCTAAAGTCCCAGCTTCTTTTTGGCCCGAAGCAGTAGCTACCTCTGTTTACCTCATAAACCGACTCCCGACAAAAACTCTCAAATTCAAAACTCCACTAGATATTTTGTCTAGTCAAGCAGTTGTTCCATCCTACCTATCTCTTCAGCCTCGGGTTTTTGGGTGTTCTGTTTTTGTCCATATTCCAAAACACGAACGAAATAAATTATCCCCGTGTGCTGAAAAGTGTGTCCTTGTCGGGTATGGGATCCATCAAAAGGGATATCGGTGTTATAACCCAAAAACCAAACAAATCAGTACCACAATACACTGTAGTTTCCTTGAAACCGAGTACTTCTACTCCAACCATCTTAGCAGTCAGGGGGAGAGTTCTAATGACTTGCTAAGCTGGCTTCTTCTTCCTGCACAAAACCAAAACCAAAACCAAAGCCATCAAACACAAAACCAGAAACAAAACCAAGATCAGTCCCAGATTCCCTCTTATCACACAGTCGAAGTCTCTGAAGAACTTGAGCTCAGAAAAGCAGAACCTGAGGATGAACAATCTCCAAACATTGAAAATTCAGACTTTGGGCCCACGTCTAATGATGTTTCTTCTTCCGAGATATTTAATGTAAGAAACACTGGAGCTGAAGGGCGTACAGAAACATATAGAGAGTCTAGGCGGATCCTTCCACCTAGACATAATCGAGGAGTTCCACCTCAACGGTATTCTCCAGACCGGACAGGGCAGTCCAGATACTCTATTGGGTCTCTAGCGAAACTGAGTTTGTCTGATGATGCTTCAAAATATCAGGATGCACTTTATTCTGATGTTATTCCTCATTCAGAGGAAGTGGCTCTACAGAATCCTAACTGGAAAGGGGCTATTGACAAGGAGATGGGGGCGTTAGCTCGAAATAAGACATATGAGAAATGTCAACTACCAGCTGGCAAGAAGCCGATTGGATGCAGATGGGTCTTTACTATCAAACGGAAGCCAGATGGCTCAATTGACAGGTATAAAGCTCGGCTCGTGGCTAAAGGGTATGCTCAGACATATGGGATTGACTATGCAGATACTTTTTCACCCGTGGCGAAAATGAACACTGTTAGAGTCCTCTTATCTATTGCAGTCAATCAAGATTGGGATCTACTCCAATTTGATGTAACAAATGCCTTCTTACACGGAGAATTGAAGCGAGAAGTGTATATGCTGCCGCCTCCAGGGTTTGAATCCGAGTTTAAAGAAAATGAGGTATGCCGACTGAGGAAGACTTTATATGGGCTGAAGCAGTCACCAAGAGCATGGTTTGGGAGATTTACAGCAGCCATGAAAAAATATGGCTACCAACAGAGTAATTCGGACCATACCCTGTTCATCAAACACCGAGGGAGTCTTATCACTTGTCTCATCATTTATGTTGACGACATGATCTTAACAGGGAATGATTCCGAGGAAATTATTCGACTGAAAGAAAATCTTTTCGAAGAATTTGAGATGAAAGACTTGGGAAGATTGAAGTATTTCTTGGGTATTGAGGTTCTGAGATCGAAGGTGGGAATCTTTATGAGCCAGAAGAAGTATACACTGGATCTTCTGGCAGAGACCGGAATGATGGACTGCAAACCAGCACTTACTCCTATAGAACTGAATCATGGACTACAAATAACAGAAGGAGCAGAAGAGACAGATCGAGGGAGGTACCAACGGCTTGTGGGAAAACTAATCTACTTGTCACACACTCGTCCAGATATTGCCTATGCCGTGGGAGTGATCAGTCGGTTTATGCATCGGCCTCAGATCGAACACATGAAGGCAGCTTTGAGAGTTGTAAGATATCTGAAGGGGACGTTCGATTATGGAGTTCTCTTCAAAAGGGCCGAACATCTTGAGATCCTTGCCTACACAGATGCGGACTGGGCCGGAAATCCGGTTGATCGGAGGTCTACAGCTGGGTACTTTGCATTAGTTGGAGGAAACCTTGTTTCGTGGAGGAGCAAGAAACAAAAGGTCGTGGCCTTATCCAGTGCTGAAGCAGAATTTAGAGGAATCAAGAGTGGAATTACTGAAGTGCTGTGGATACGGAAATTACTCATGGAGCTTCGATTATTTTCTGGAAAGACGTGTAGATTGATGTGCGATAACAAAGCAGCAATCAGCATTTCAGAGAATCCAGTCCAACATGATCGGACAAAACATGTGGAGGTTGATCGTCACTTTATTAAAGAAAAAATTGAACAAGAAATCATTGCTCTTCCTTTCATCCCGTCGAAGTACCAGTTGGCCGACATACTCACAAAAGCCGTTGACTCAAGAAATTTTAATGAAGTACTGAGCAAGCTAAGTATCGGAAATCCCGTCACTTAGCTTGAGGGGGAGTGTTGGAATAGAAGAGTATCAGAGTTTTACAAGGAAAAGATATGACCAAATCAATCAAGATAATCAACAAGATATTCAAGATCCGATTTAGAAGTTTTGTGATTTATTCTTTCCTTGTTTACCTCATTATGTACTCTATATATTTGTATTCTCATTATGTACAAATAAGATAGTTTTTCTTCTCCCAAAAACATGTCGAATGTATTGCTTAACAGTGCCTTCTAATCCGGGAGCACTAGTCGTGAACGTAGGAGACCTTATGGAGGCAAGCCTATGCCATCAATATGCCTTACCCTTTTTTTATTTTAAAATGCCGTTAAAATTATACGCAGTATAATTTTGTTTCTTGCAGCTCATAACAAATGCGAAGTTCAGAAGCGTGTACCATAGAGTATTAGCTAATACTGAGGGCCCAAGACTCTCGGTAGCCTTCTTTTTCAGACCGCATATGAACGAAAGCAGTCAGTCTAGGCTGTACGGACCGATGAAGGAGTTGCTGTCGGAAGAGAATCCGGCTATTTACAGAGAAGCCACGGGCGAGGAGATTGTTTGGATACGGTATACGAAAGGGCTCGATGGGGTCCCTTTGCTATCACATTTTAGGCTTAACTCAGAGTCCCCCCAAGTGAAATGATATTAGTTATATTACAAAGTATTAATAGTTGTTATATGCTGGAGTGGTGAATAAAGAAGACCTATATGTATCTCTGTTGCATTAGATCCTTGTCAAAATTTGTGGTGATGCTGTCATTGTACTTGTGACCTAAAATGGAGAGATTTCTGTTGTGTTTATTCCTTCTTTTTACTTAGTTTTCCATCTGTACATAGAGATTAGAGAAGACATGTTAATGGAATTGAAACTATAGCTGCATCATGAAGCACATGACTAGTGGCCTTGTAAAATTAGAATTAGTGCCTCAATGGTGTGTTGTGGTTATGTAGAAAAAGTTGGATATTTTCTAGTCTTTGTGATGGAGTTTGCCAACAAAGCTTTGCCACCAACCAAGCTTCAACCACCGGCTCATGTCCGGCCATAAGCAAAAATCACCAAAGATTTCATAGAGTTTGTACGCTGACCAACAGTCCCTACCCCTCACCGCGACCTTCTTTTTCACTGGAAACGAGTTCAATCTCTCCGCAGGCGCCGGTGCCGGCGCTTCGCCCCTGGACACCTTCGTCATTCACTAACACACCGTCTCCCAGCGCCTCATCTTCTCCAACCTGTGCGCGGCTCCCGGTCCGCACGCGTCTCTCCACGCTCTTCCGCGCCAAGTACATCGTCGTCACTGATATAGCACCTAGAAATAATCGGGTAAATGGGGTGGCTCGGCCTTTTTGGGCTCGGTCTCTTTTGGCTCGGCCCAAAAGACATAATAGCGGCCCAATTACAGATCTTTCGGTGGCTCGGATGTAAATGGGCTACCATGGAATTTTCGCATGAGAGCGGCTTGACGGAAGGATTATTAGGAGCAGAAAAAGAGGGACACGTGTGGCATTAATATAAGAAGGGGCTGGATCATCTAAAGGGTGAGGATGAAGGCGTGGCACAAACGCAACGTCAGTACTTATAAATAGGTAAAGTTGGGGTGCACGAGAGGTAATCACGTTACAAATCCTAAAATCTATGTTGTGCCCTTCTAGATAATATACTAACTTGAGCGTCGGAGGTTTACCGCCGGGAAGTATGCAGGTGTTCGGGTGCTCAAGCGGTTGAGGATCAAGGAGGGCCGGTCCGAAGTGCGATAGCACATCAGTCACCAACAGCTCGCCAGAGAATTTCGCCATTGACAGCTCGCAGGTTACCCACCCCGACGTTTTCTTGAATTCTGTTTCTCGGTGCACGGCGTTAGGAAGCTTGCAGGACATACACCCTTCTTTTCTAATGCAATTAGGGCTTTTTTTATTTTTTCTTTGTTTCTTATTTTTAAAGATATATAAAATTCCAAAAATGGCCTTAATAATCAACATATTTTAGTCAAAACCACATTTTAGTGGGCAATTTGACAAACTCGTATAGTTCAGATGGTGGTTTGGAAAAAAAAAAAGTTTATATGATGATGCGCGGAAATCATCATAGTTTGGATAGTAAATTTTTTTTTTCCCTTGATAAAAATATTAGATCATCGTGCTTTAGCTAGGTTTCAATAACCAGTGCAATTCGTGGGTAGCATTTTATTTTATATTTCATAAAAATTGATAAATCTATATTACTTTGAAAGGAAGAGTATTTTTGTAAAAAGGAAATGAAATATCTAAAAAAAACCTTTAATTTGACATATTATTAATAAAAAAATTAATAATATACTAATATTCATTTTATCTTATATTTTTAATTAATAACTAATATTTACCTAAAAAAAATCCTTAAGTGGACATATTTTGAATGACACATTACTCAATACAATAATACTCATCCTATCTTATATTTAATAGCTAATATTTAATTAATTGAACATGAATACACAGACAGAACATTCCATATTTCCTAATGATCAACCACAATATTCTCGCGCAACTTTTCTTGATGAATTTGTTTTCTGCCACATATAACAAATATTTAATTAACTAGATACAAATATACAAACAAAATATTCCACATCTCCTAAAAATCAACCAGGATATTCTCGCACCATTATCTATGACGAATTTGCTTTCCTCCACATATCCCCCAAACTATTTTCTTCCATATCTCCTAAATCCAACCAAACATCAAAGCCTTAAAAAGATATAGAATTGTTGTTTGAATTGTTGTTTTGACAAACACTCTTACTTTTAATATAATTTTGATGGTAAAATTATAATCATATTAAATAGTAATCGCACGTCGCGACGTGACAAATTTAAATTTATAATTATTCCTTAAAAAACCTCCACTTACTAGTAGTAACGGCAAGTAAGACTCAATTCCACGAGGAGGAGGAACTAAATTGTGACTATTTTCGTATTAATCGAACTAAAACTAAGATATCAATAAAGATAGGGGATTCATTTTACATTAAAAAAAATTTAACAACATAAAAGAAGAGTAAATAAAAAAAGTCCATTTTCCGATTCATTTATCACACAGACTAAATATATCGTTAGTTAATTTAAACACCTTTTTTGCTAACAAATTATCAACCCTATTTAACAAATGTTAACCAAATTTTCCTACCGAATATTAATCGAGATAAGCTCTTCGATTTAACTAGTGAACAAACTATCTACATTTAATACACTAGCAATATTAATCCTAGGAAAGTAGATTAGTTTAAGAAATGGACGCGAAAGTTTAGACTATTTAACTAATTTCACGCTACCCAAGAGGATGTTTAGATACAAATTTATCAAAAAAAAAAACAATTATTTTAACTCAACCACTTTTTTTTTTTTTTAACTCAATTCCACTATCATCAATATTATCAATATAACTAAATAATATCAATCAATCATTCTTATACACAACATCAACTTTAACTCACTATTCATCCACTCACATAATTTTAACTAACCATCACTTCAAATCATTTCTCTCCTATTTTTACACCAAATTAACTTTAATTATTTTATTTTAAATATTATTTTAATATATCCACTAACAACTAACCATACTACATTTTTTAAAATTAACCAAACCAAACCAAAAAATCCAAACAAATCCAAAAAATTTCCATATCTAAGCATCCCCTAACAATGACGAATTAAGTCTCGTCTCTAGCAAATAAACTAGGAATATTCAACGTAGACTACCTAACTAAATAAAACACCTAAAATTCATCAACGTTATAAATAGATAACATGAATCGACTCATCAACAAATAAATAAAAGTAAAAGATCAATCAATCAATAGTAAAATTGAAATTATGGCTCAAACATCCCTTCAAATTGGATAAAAATTTTAGCCTATACTAATAAAATTAAATAATAGATAAAAAAAAAGAGAGAGAATAAAATTATTTTCTCGTGTGCGTTTGGAGTCTTTTCACTCTGGGCGTGGCTCTCTGTCACTGTGTCACGGGCTTGATGCTACGCGTATTTCTCCTTTTAACTCAAAAAATTTCTCCACTTGCGTGAGTTCCAATTTTGTGTCAAACTCCTTGGCCCCCAATTATATAATTCAGTAGCTTTTTAAACAACTAGTACGAATCTCGTGCAATGCACAGGCAAGAGATATTTATTAATATTTATAAATTAGAAATATTCATTAAATAATATTTATAAATAAAAATTACATATATTAATTTATCAAAAACGTTATACGAAGTTTAAATTGTGAAAAATTACATAAAACATGTCTAGATAAAAAAATAGTACACAACCCACGATAGTGCACATGACTGGTAATAAATGGCATTGTATTCATTTCGAAATAAGTGTCATTTTAAACATTTTTATTCAGAAATTCGATTTGACTACAATGTGATTCCATAACATAATTATTTTTGTAAAATTTTATCCTATATATAAAATTTATGTGAATAATAAGTATAATTATAAAAATTTATGTTGTTTCTTTAATTAAAATGTTACTATTTTTGTATAAGCTATCTAAATCAAAAAAAAATATGAAGTTGAGAATTTATTAAAATATAAATAATTGACTATTTCAATTACCTCCAAGTTAATATTGACCGAATAATTACTAATTTGAAACTTAAATTTGGACTACAAATATTATACTTTCGTTTATTTTTTTTTTATTTTTTGTATATTAATCGTGGACTCATTTGTTTATCATATTAGATACCATAAACCAGTGTATCAATACCTTTTGGGCTAATTAAAGATTCTTCTTAGGCCTTGTTTGTTTTTTGGCTTTTTGGCCAAAACGCTAAAATAGCGGTTTTGACTAAAATCAAAAAAGCTAAAATTGATTGTTTTGTTGTTTGGTAAAACAGCTTCTCAAAATAGCTTATGGGCTGAAAACGCCAATATTGCAAACGCTATGATTTGCAGCGTTTGTGATGAGCGTTTTGTACCTTTTCCTTTTCTTTTACACTTTTTGCTTTTCTTTTGCTAATTTAGCATATTCCTAGGCCACTATTTACGCTTTATATTTATTTTTTTCATTTCATCATGTTTTAAATTGTGCATAATAATAAATTTTAATTGTGTTGCTTTATTGCTTTTTTTTTTAATAAGTATGACGTGAACTTATTACTTAATTAAAAAAATTTATTTTATTATTATTTATATTATATTTAAAATCACTTTAATAAATATTTAAATATTAATTATTTTTATTTTAAACCGCTAACACAATCAGCTAATTTTATCAAACACTTTTTTTACAAACCGCTAACACAATCAGCTAGTCAAAACAACTAATGCAATCCGCTGGTCAAAGCAGCTAATGCAATCTGCTAACAGCTAACAGCTAACCGCTAATTACCAAACAAGGCCTTAATACTCTCATAACATAACTAACATAGTTATTGTTCCAATATACACGATCGAAATTTCATTCCATATAAAAGACTTTTTTAATACCATTAATCAAAAGGTAATTAACGAATACATGATCTCCAAAATTTCTTCAATATATATATGGAGCAACTTATGGATATTTATTTTTGAAGATTAACCATGATCTTATTTGAAGGATTGGTTGAATCAAATCTGCAAATAATATGTCCCTAATTAATTAAACGTGG